TTATGTTACATTTTTGCTTTAAATTATTTCTCAGAATATTTCCAGAACTGCATTTGCTAGGTGAAAGAATGCACATTTTTATAGTTTTTATACATATTTCTTTTTGTTTCCTTTTTCAGAGGCAGGGTCTTGCTCTATTGCCCAGGTTGGAGGGGCCCAATCATAGCTCACTGCAACCTCAACTCCTGGGCTGAAGTGTTCCACCTGCCTCAGCCTTCCAAGTAGCTAGGACTGCAGGCACATGCCACCATACCCAACTAATTTCTTTTATTTTTGTAGAGACAGTGTCTGGCTATGTTGCCCAGGTTGGTCTTGAACTCCTGCCCTCAAGTGATTCTCCCACCTCAGCCTCCCAAAGTCCTGGAAGTACAGGCATGAGCCACCACACCTAGCCCATATTTCTTATGAAAGCTATAATGGCTACTTTTTATTGAGCTAACTCTGTGTTAGACTTTAGATAAAAATTAATTTGTCTTCAAAAAGACCCAAGATGATAGCTGTGATTGTTGTAGAAAGATAAGGAAACAGACACAGAGAACAGTTGTCTAAGTTCAAAGAGTTTGTAAGTGATAAAGTTGGATTTGAAACCCAAGTCTATCTAACTCCAAAGTCTACGTATCTCATGAATTTGTTAGTATTCTAACTAGCAGTACATGAGAATGCCTAAACTTCTTCTTTTCTAATTTTCAACTGGAAGGGGCCTTAGAAATTCTGTGTAGCATCATTACTTTTCAGTGAGAAAACTGAGCCCTCAGTAAAGGTAAAGACCAAGCTAGAAACTCAGCCAGCCACACAGTGTGTCAGCACAGAACCCTGTTACTTTAGACCCTCCACACCAGGACTTTTTTTTTTGAGACACAGTCTCACCCTGTTGCCCAGACTAGAGTGAGTACCATGGCATCAGCCTCGTTCACAGCAACCTCAGACTCCTGGGCTCAAGCGATTCTCCTGCCTCAGCCTCCCAAGTAGCTGGGACTACAGGCGGGAGCCACCATGTCCAGCTAATTTTTTGTTTCTATTTTTAGTTGACTGGCTAATTTTTTTTCTATTTTTAGTAGAAACGGGGTCTCACCCCTGCTTGGGCTGATCTTGAACTCCTAAGATCCTCCTGCCTTAGCCTCCCAGAGTGCTAGGATTACAGGCATGAGCCACCAGGCCCAGCCCACACCAGCCCTTTTTCTGTGATTCCTTTTTTCCATTCCTGGAAATCTAGCTTCAGTGTTTCTTGCTCATCTTAATCTCAGCTAACCGACATTGGGTAGCTTTTTTTTTTTTTAATGAAAGATGAGTTTTGATTGTGGCCAGATCAAAGCTTCCAGTAAGAAAGCTGAGCAAAGGAGCTATGCCTGAGCCTTCCCAGAGCTTCTTTTCAGGAAAAGAAAGATTTGTGTTCCTGTTAAGAAGTAAGTTTGGTGCCAGGATTGGCCTCTGCGATGATCTGGCGGCATCAGGTGGCAGAGCCCCCTAGGCTCAAAGCAGCAGTGCAGGAGGCTTCCCTGCAGCCACAGCGTGGCTGGAGAAGACCTGCCTGGGAGGTTCAGGGCCGGTCACTGGAATCAGACCATAAAAACAGATTCCGGGGATCAGGCCAGGCAGTAGAAGAGATGTCAGAGACCCATCAGGATTCCTCAGACAGGCAAAAGGTGACTAGTGAACAGGAATAGGCATGAGAGGGCAAGCAGGAGTCTGCACACACGTATACCGACACGTGCACCCAGCTGTGTGCACACACCTTTCACCTAGGACTGCCGATGTCTGTAAGTTCCCTGTTTCTCCTGGGTGTCTCTATGATTCCTCTGGGGCAAAAACAAATCCTTGAGAAGATTAGTTTCCAAGCATTCAGAAAATTGCTTGCAGCTGCCTGTCCTGGGCATGCAGGAGCAGAGGACCATCAACAACTTCTGGGGAGCAATTTAAAGTTTAAAACAATTCTTGATATCTGTAACATTTCAGTATACCGTATGTCCATTGTATAAATTAACATATATGAGATTCTAATGCCAGACCTTAATTATTGTTTCCTTTTTGTAAAAGCATTTTTAAAAATACCAGCCTAAGCAAGAGCGAGACCCCGTCTCTACTATAAATAGAAATAAATTAATTGGCCAACTAATATATATAGAAAAAATTAGCCGGGCATGGTGGTGCATGCCTGTAGTCCCAGCTACTTGGGAGGCTGAGGCAGCAGGATCGCTTGAGCCCAGGAGTTTGAGGTTGCTGTGAGCTAGGCTGACGCCACAGCACTCTTGCCTAGGCAACAGAGCAAGTCTCTGTCTCAAAAAAATATATAAATATACTATGTGGTTTTCTTTTGTTGTTTTTAATTTCAGAATATTAAGGGGGTAAAATTTTTTTGTTACATGGATATCTTGCATGTGCCACCGCGCCCGGCCTCAAGCTGGTCTTGAACTCCTGACCTCAAGCAATCCTCCCAAAGTACTAGAATTACTAGTCACTTTAAAGATCAGAAGTGATGCTGAGAAAATCCATCTTTGAGGTTTTATAGTGCTTCATCAAGATTAAGGATAGAAAGTTCTGAAAGTTGGAAAGGTCTGAAGGATAGAAAAATAACCCCCTCCAGGGAAGCTTCCCTCCATCGATCTCCTTGTTTTGGAGGTCAGTGTGTGTGTAAAAAGGATGTGAAGGCCGGGCGCGGTGGCTCACGCCTGTAATCCTAGCTCTCTGGGAGGCCGAGGCGGGCGGATTGCTCGAGGTCAGGAGTTCGAAACCAGCCTGAGCAAGAGCGAGACCCCGTCTCTACTATAAATAGAAATAAATTAATTGGCCAACTAATATATATAGAAAAAATTAGCCGGGCATGGTGGTGCATGCCTGTAGTCCCAGCTACTTGGGAGGCTGAGGCAGCAGGATCGCTTGAGCCCAGGAGTTTGAGGTTGCTGTGAGCTAGGCTGACGCCACAGCACTCTAGCCTAGGCAACAAAGCGAGTCTCTGTCTCAAAAAAAAAAAAAAAAAAGGACGTGAAATACAGAGTACAGGTGAGGGGCACACCGATGTTGACATGCTTTGAGCTGGGTAGAAATGTCAGCTCTGGAAGTGTAGTGGTGTACCCTGACTCCACACCGTCAAATGTAGAACATTATACTTTCTTGTATTTTCAGTTCTCTTTGGAATTTTAACAGTTGTGGTCATAAAATTATTGATCTTTTTCATTTGCTTAAAAAAGACTTCATTCTGACTGACTTGATTTAATTATTTATGGAGCTTTTTTAGTTTTTTAAATAGAAATAAGTATAATAATTTTATTATACAGAATTTAACTTTATAACTGGGTCCCACCTGTGAATAAAGAAACATGATTCGTTTCTCCCTTAACACTAACAAAGGTAACAACACGTAAATTAACTTTAAAAATGTTTCCCTTGAGGCCACATGTGGTGGCTCCTGCCTGTAATCCCAGCCTTTGGGAGGCCGAGGTGGGAGGATCACTCGAGGCCAGGAGTTCGAGACTTACCTGGGCAACATAGTGAGAGCCCATGTCTACAAAAAATTTTTAAGATTAGCCAGGCATGGTGGCATATACCTGTAGCCCTAGCTACTTAGGCTGAAGCTGGAGGATCACTTGAGCCCAGGAGTTAGAGACTACAGTGAGCTATGATCACACCACTTTACTGCAACCTGGGTGACAGAGTGAGACTAAAGTAAATAAAAATAAATTTAAAAAATAAAAATAAATAAACAAAATTTTTAAAATGTTTCTAGGGAAGGTGAACTAATGTGTGTGAAGTAGAGGAATGGGGAATGGTTCCTCCTATTTTAGTCAGGGTAGCACCCATCTTATCAGATAATTATTTGGGAAGTACTATATATAATTCCTTTGTTTCTTTTCCTAAGAAATACTCTTGGCTTTTATTTCCTTTTGACCTTCCATACACAGGAGATTGTTCTAATTGCTTGCTTGCTTTTTTGGAGATTTATGTGACCTACACTGTATCTGACATAGAAGCTTTGCTTACATTGCTTGGTTTGTTCTTCGTGGTAAGTCCCAAGGGTGTGAAGGTCACTGTTCAAACTTTAATTGTTTGAACTGTGTGGTTTATGCCTTTTTTTCTCTTATTCTTTGATCAGATCCTTTGTATTGCAGCTTGTTTGAAACTACTGATTCCAGCCGTAGGTTCTAGGTAAAGCCTGTGTTTAGTGAATGGCTAATTCCCAAAGTTACTGTAAGTAGAAGGTCAAAGAGAATTTTCAATATCTCACATTGTCATGAGTGAAACATATTTTTCTAATTTTCCTCCTTCTGTATTTAAAAATATTTAGTAGTATTCTATAGATATTATAGTGGAAATTACAAGTTGTTTTCTAGTTTGTATATATTTCCTGTCACTTAATATTTAGTAAATATTTCATGAATAAATATTGTGCTTCATTTTGGTTTAGTCTAAAACAAAGTAAAGTCTCTTTTCACAGGTAATAGTAACTTAAATTCCTTATCTGGCACAACATAGATATTTTTGTAGGCTCGTATGACATTTCATTAAATGTTTATTTTCACACACTCATTCAACAGACATTAATTCATTACTTACTAAGTGATGGGTTTGGTACTGGGTGGTAAACATAGCAGACCCTGCATCTGTCCCCTTATGGCTCATAGTCTATTACGTTTATAAGTGTGTTACATTTTCCCATAATACTGTTAACCACCATTTGTTATGTTCCAGTTAATGTGTTAAGCATTTTGAATGCATTACCTCATTTAATCCTTCATATAACCCTATGGAGAAATGGTATTATACACCCTCTTTCACAATCGGTGAGACTAAGATGAGAAACTTGCTCAGTGTCACAAAGCCAGGACCCAAACCCAGAACTGCCTAATTTCAGACCTGTTTTAGTTTGTCTTCAACTTGACTTGAACCTTTGACATTATAATTTGTTGCCTCATCTTAAAATAACTGTGTAACAGTAAAATGTTATTAAGTAGCATGAGAACACTAATGTCTAAGAAGTCTCTGTTGCTCTGCCCATTCTTTCTCAGGAGGAAACTCTGCGCAAGTCGTCCAGCAGCAGCAGCGTGTCTCCCTCCTTGCTTGAAGATCCAGTATTGGAGGTGGCATCTACCAGGAAGAGTGAGTACTCATGGTGCAAAGAACTAGAGTTGGATACCTTACAAAACACAATCGACCTAGAACAGGGATCCCAAAGTGCCCTGGGAGCATTTTGGGTAGAAAGAACCAACCCTGGCTTTTCACTGGTCAGGAGAAGAAATACTCTTTTATTTTCCTAGGTTGGCATCATAGGGTAGGCTCAACTGATAACCAGGCCTAAGGTTCTTAACTGGTAACAGATCAGGCACATTTGTGTTTATAGATAATAGTTACAGGAAATAAATCAACTGTGTGTATGCATGTATATTTTTTTAGATTTATTACCTCCTTATCCAAATTTAAACCAGAAGCCCTAGGCAGCCATATTTGTTATCTCTCCCTGCCTTTCCTTCCCCCACCCCACCCCACCTGCACAGACACACATACCCCCATATCCACGTACACCTACAGACAGTGAAAACACTTTTATAACTCTTCAGACAATGGATTCCAAACACAGATATCTAAAGGGATTTCTAAAGGCTTTTAGTAATCTTTTTCATCTATAAGATCATTAGGAAGGGTTAAAAATTAATTAATTATATATTAAGGATACCTTAGAATATTGGCTTGATGTCTTATACATGTGGAGATTTTAGTGGTTTAAATTCTTTAAATAGTATTTTGATTATTTAAACAGATTATATAAAAAGCAATAGAAGCTGGCCTTGGTTCTTATCTGTAATTGGTATTTGGCCAAGCCCATTAAATATAATAGGGACCTAATTAAATCACATAATGGATTTCTGTATCTTTTCTTGACTGTAGAAATTGTGTTCGTTGTTTTCCTTTAGTGATTTCTCTTGGTGGGACTGTCCAAATAGATGGATCACATTGAACTTTGTGTTGACTCTCACTTTCCTCACCCACGCCATTGAAGCAGCTTTACTTTGCAGATAGAATAGGAAGAAATACTAAATAAAACTCTGACAGCATAATTTATTTCTAGTGTTCTCCTTATGTTTTCAAAATGTGAATCCAAAATCATTCAGGCACTAAAACATTCTTCTGTTAAACACCATCCCAAAATATTACGAGGCAGTGGAGAACAATGGTACAATATTACATCAAAGCTGAAATTTACTTTTTGCAATTTAAGTACAGCTTAATTTAAACCTAAGGACAAAATAACTTGATAACTATTTAGGTAGGTGCAGAGTAATTACAGTTTAGCATCGTTGAAATTTGCCCTTTGATGTTGGAATACATTCTTAAATAAATGTGGTTATGTTATACATCATTTTAATGCACATTTCTCACTTTATGTTTTTTTGCTAATGACTTATTACTTGCTGTTTATTTTATATTTATTTTAGACTATAGAAATGATCTTACACAAAAAGCAAATTTGAGCGATTTTCTTATTCAAGTTAAAAATGGTTTGTAAAACAGCGGGGTCAACCAGCAACATCAGCAATGCATTTGGCCCAGGAACTGCTAACGAACGTACAGTGCACTGGTGGTTCAAGAAGTTTTGCAAAGGAGATGAGAGCTTTGAAGGTGAGGAGCGCAATGGCCGGCCACCAGAAGTTGACAACCACCAATTAAGAGCAATCATTGAAGCTGATCCTCTTAAATCTACACAAGAAGTTGCCAAAGAACTCAACATCGACCATTCTATAGTCATTAGGCATTTGAAGCAAATGGGAAAGGGGAAAAAGCTTGCTAAGTGGGTGCCTCATGAGCTGACCGAAAATAAAAAAAATCGTTGAAGTGTCATCTTCTCTTATTGTACACAACTACAATGAACCATTTCTCATTGGATTGTGATGTGATGAAAAGTGGATTTTATATGACAACCAGCGAAGACCAGCTCAGTGGTTGGACTAAGAAGAAGTTCCACAGCACTTTCCAAAGCCAGACTTGCACCACGGTCACTGTCTGGTGGTCTGCTGCCAGTCTGATCCACTGCGGCTTTCTGAATCCCAATGAAACTATTATACCCGAGAACTATGCTTGGCAAATTGACGAGATGCACTGAAAACCGCAACACCTGCAGCTGGCATTGGTCAACAGAAAGGGCCCAATTCTTCTCCACGACAACTGTCAACTGGTCACACAACCAACACTTCAAAAGTTCAAAACTTCGTAGCCCATTAATAACATAATGGGCTACGAAGTTTTGCCCCATCCGCCATATTCACCTGACCTCTCACTAACCAACTACCACTTCTTCAAGCCTCTTGACAGCTTTTTGCAGAGGAAACGTTTTCTCAACCAGCAGGATATAGAAAATGCTTTCTAAGAGTTCATGGAATGCTAAAGCACAAATTTTTATGCTACAGGAAGAAGCAAACTTATTTCTTATTGGTAAAAATGTGTTGATTGTAATGGTTCCTATTTTGATTAATAAAGATGTGTTTGAGCCGAATTATAATGATTTAAAATTCATAGTCCAAAACCACAATTACTTTTGCACCAACCTAAATATATAGAAAGAGGAGTTTTCCATATCCTAGCTTTAAAAAGGAGAATGAGAAAAGAGGGTACACTTGAGAATTTTGGTATGATTTGGTATGAATTTTTGGCCACACAGAATACATATTTTTACGTTTTTAAAGTAATAACTGAGATTTTATAATTATAAAATTTTGTGTAACAGGGCATTTGTGCAAATCTGAGGCATATCTCTCCAATGGAAAAAACTTTGTCTTTGAAGGCAGTGTTTGTCACAATGACAAAATGTTTTCTGTTCAAAAATTCAAAATATAAGATGTATATTTTGTAACAGAATTTATTTCATTTGGTTAAATCTTTAGAGCCTCCGAAATTCTTGCCCATATCCTCAACACCGCAGCCAGAGAGAAGGCAGCCGCCCCAAAGACGTCATTCCATCGAGAAGGAAACGCCCACGAACGTGAGGCAGTTCCTGCCGCCGTCCCGGCAGAGCTCGCGCTCGCTCGTAGTGGGGTCTGCGCGGGGGCTGCGCGGGGGCTGCGCGGGCCGGGCTGCGCGGGCCGGGCTGCGCGGGGCGTGGGCACGGGGAGACCGGGTCACTGGCTTCCTCACAAAGGCGATGAGGAGAGTAAAACTTCTAAAGGTTACAATAAACTGTGAATAACTTATTTATTTACTAACTAAAGAAAACAAATGCTAATCATAATCTAAATGAAAGTTGATCAGTTTGCATTCATTTTGAGCACTTTTTTTAGGAGATTTATCAGTGGTTAAAAGTATGGATTATTATTAACCACTTCGGTACAAGTGTTGACTGTGGCCGGCAGCCACAGATGAGCGCGCACAGCGACTGCAGCCGACAGCGTGCTATGACTTTTTTAATTTTTCATTTATCAAAATAAAATTGTGAACATTTAAAAATAACATAATGAAAACATACATGTACATGTTACCTGTTCTGATTTACATGACAAGTAGAGCTGCCTGTGAAGCAGGACAGGCGTTCAGGGCTTGGAGGTTTCCACGCGCACGCGCAGACGGCCGCGCCGTCCATGGCAGCGCGCGCGGAGCGCCCGGGGTGCAGCTGCGGGCCAGGCGTCGCGGCCGGGGGCGCCGACCCAGGTGGTTAAAGAAATGCTTTCTTCCTTTCAAAGGTTTCCTTTCATTTAAAAATTGTTGAAAGCTTATAAAAAATTATAGCAAAATATTACTACTACAGTAAACAATTTTATTGAGGCAGAAGGGAAGGGAGAAGTTTGATCCATTAATAGCCATTGTATTATACATTGTTTTCTAGTATGTTTTGTGATATTGGGACCAAAGCTGATATTTGGACTGGTTAACAATTTTTGCTGTTTTCCAGAGACTTGCAGGTTCTTGTAGTGGCTTCTCATTTCTCAGGACAGTGGGACAGCACACAGGCCCTTCCAGGAAGATCTAATAGATCCACCAGCCAAAGGAGGTCTGCAAAGATTCTTGTGTAGTCCCACTTGGCTTCAGAAATATTTGTAGGCGAGATGCAAGGCTTCAATTGATATTCTCCCTACAATCTGATACCTAGTGTTTTTTCAAATATTTGTGAATAAAAAATACTAAAAATGCTTAAATCCATTTTTTCCTAAGCTGTGATGAGTCACCAGGGTTTCAAATGAAGCAACAACAGATGTTCTTCTCTCAAAGTAGAGGGAGATAGTGTGATTATTGTAAAGACAGGGAGTTTAAACAGAGCACAGAGTGCTGAAATTTGATCAGTCATCTCTATTCCACAATAACAGCCTAAAGAACTAATGAGTGTATGGCTCTTCCTGGTAGCATTCCTCCAGCTCCTAATAATCACCAGAGCACTGCTGTCTGGCAGTGGGTCACCAACAGGAAAGCGCCTCTGACCAAGACAGGGTCAAACGGTGAAATCCAAAGACTTATTAATGTGAATAAGTTGTTGCTTACCAAAAGATATGGTTATTGTCACAATTCAAAAATATATGATGCTGAAATAAAAAAAATAAAAACGTATATGAATATATATCTATATCTATATATATATGTGAGAGAGCTCTGATTATTTTTCAAAGTTCAACAATTAGGATATTCTTTTCTTCTCTTAGCTTTTCCTAGAAGCCACTCTGTCATTCAACTACATACCTGGCCTTTGTGATCAGAAAACCTTATTGTTGAGGTTAGACTTAAATTAAAAAATTATCAATGTAAAAGAACTATTAACTACAGAGTAGTTTCAGCTAATAACAGAAGTTATGCCAAGACCTTCAGCCCATACCAAAAGCCCATGAACGTGTCTTTCTTGGTGAAGCTGAACTTTTAGTATCTGCTTAGTCAGGCTCTGAGCTTTTTTTGTGAAGAAGGAAGGAGGGCAGGATGAACTAGTTTGCAATCACTGAAAAAGGTCTCTGTGAACAGGCAATAGGAGAGCACCTCTGGTCAACACTAGATGGTATTCAGGTCAAAGGGCAAAGAACAGCAAGTCCACATGAGAGGAGGAAAGGATGGCTCCCTCCAGCAGCCTCCAGCCACCAGCTGAGACAAAATGATTGTCCCCTCAAAGCAGTAACTTTTCTTGCTAGTAGCTTACCTTGGGAAATCCATAAAATCACACCTTTTAGTAATGTCCTATAGCTTGGTAAGTATTATTTCTTAAAGTGTGGTAATTAGTTTAAAATTTTACCTGCATTTTAGAAGGCAAGGAATCATTTTGTATTTATAACAGCCCAATTGAAAATGTCAGTAATGTTTTTGTTGTCGATAATTTTTATTTTTATGTCATCCTTCTTTAGGATGTTTAAAATGAATTTTTTTTCATCATTTAGTCAAATAACTGAGGGTGATTGCCCATCACGTCGAAAAGCAACTTGTCTCTACTGTCTTCCCAGGGGCAGGAGCAAGCAGCTACCTGGCATATACTCCCTAGAAGCCAGTCTATGCCTTCTTGGGCACAGGGGCAGTTGCCTCTGTCCTATGTCCCAGCAAGCCCCATTTAGGAGACTCAGAGTGTTCCCAGGGCTACCAAGTTAGAAAAATCCTAAATTTAAATCTTTGCTGTGTCAACTCTAAGATTCTCCAGGAATGACTTCGTTGCTTGCTTACTGATTTATACATATGGATGCACATGTTGGCATGGACCATTATCGTCTTCATGGTGTTTTTTGTTTTGTTTTTCTTTCACGATCTGTAATCACTATTTGTAGGTCACTCATGTTCAGCATTATTTTCTCCTTTTCTTTTCCCCTTGCCATTTTCTTTTTCCCCTTATCTGTTGTTCAGGTGCCTAGGATAACCAGTGTATGGCCAAGGACGCCTTTTCGCCCACTTTTTTCTACCATACAAACAGCTTCTCTGCTCAGCTCTCACCCTGTCGAAGCAGCCATATTTGGGGTAGCAGGGGCTATGTATTATCTGTGTGAGAGAGCTTTTACCAGCAGGTGGAAATCCTCAAAGGTTGGCCTCTTTCTGCTGGTTCTGGGAATCATTTTATTCTCTCTATCTCTTTGACAATGATACTTCAGCTACTGCACTCTGCAAAAATTAACAGCTTAGACGGGTACTTTGCTTCTGATCGTTGATTCCAGTCTTGTGTAGGATGCATAGATCATGCCATGATCTCAGCTGAGAGGGAAATAACTTTGAAAGGACAACAAACTCAAAATGCAGCATCAGATTAGAGGGACCTGTGGATGTTTGTCTCTTCATGTGACCTATTTACATAGCAGGGGCCCCCTTTCTCCATGTGTAGGAGGCACCCCTAGGGCCATGGGTGCTTTCCTCTTGCCCCACTGCCATCAGAAGAGCATTTGCTCACTCACTCAGTGGGCAGAACAGCCTCCTGCCAGGCCAGGTAGCCACAGTGGATGCCCCCACCCTGTCCTCCACCGCTTCCTGCACACCCCACCAAGAGCCCCACAGGCACGGACCCAGAGGATGGGCCTCCCTTGGCTCAGGAAACCTGTGTGTTCTCAGCACCTGTCACAAAGCTATGTTGTAAAGAACACAGTATTACATCTCTAAAGAGAGAAATTTTGTTTTCTTTTTATTGATGTGGTTATTTAAAATATTTTAAATCTCCATTTTATTACTGTTATTTGAGATTTTTAAACAGAATGATATATTTTACAATTATTTGAACCTTCCCATTTGTAAGTGAAATAGAAAGCCGTGGGCCCACATGGAGCCTCTTCCACCCCAGTGTAGCAGGTGCTGTGGAGCAGCCTTTGTGGACTCCTGGCCCTTTATTTACTAAACTTGTCCTTGACAGATGACCCCTCAGCTGGTTTCTTTGTTATTCTTTCGTACCCATTTGGTATAGAAAGGAGACTGGGGATGTAAATGTGACACAATACATTCCTTTCTCTGTTCTTTGTCTTGAAGTACTGAGGAAACCACCTTCCCTTTCTCCATTTTGGATCTGGCCTATGGAGATCTGTCCTTTGGATCTGTCCTTTGGTCAGGACTGGAGGGGCTTTTTAACTCCTGCCACTCCTCCTGCCACCACTGGAGACCTCCTGGCGTTTTATTATCAATCCTCCCCAGACAGGGACCCTGTGCACTAAGTCCACGTGCTACTCGTGGCAAAGAAAGGATTCACTTTTAGTTTTAAAGTTGAATTTGAAACCCCCCCAGAAGAGTAATTAAACTTAATAGTTGCTATTTTAATTTAAATTTGCCTCCCTTTGATTTATTGAAAACTCAAAAACCAATGTTTATTTTGGATAATTTTCAAATATCTGTTACTTATTTATGAAGGTTTTACTAATCAAGACCAGTGTATAAAAGATAACTCTTCCCATTTCTCTCTGTGGCTCAATAACCAAAATGTTATATTATCTCTCTAACCTCTGTGCTGCCTAACTCTGACCCCTTCTGAATGGCAAAATATAACCAGTATATTCAACAAAATCTCAGCAATTTAAGTTATATGCATAAAAGCAAGTTTTAAAGGCATGTCTGTTCCTATAGCATATTGTAATCTTTATTTAAACTCTTTCAGATTTAGCCTCCCTTTCCTAAATTTGAGGGTCACATTGAAACAGTCAGCCAAGGGAACTAGAGCTGTGCTGGGGCCCGCCACAGCATCGTGGTGGGGCCAGACTATCGCTCTCCTTGGAGCCCTAAGTGCTGTTTACATTTTGGAGCATTAGTAACCATTCTAGTAACTATTTGTCATTTTCTTTCATGTTGCATTAAAGTTTTGTTGTCCTTGGGAAAGCTCCAGAATTAAAACATTAGCATTTGGCCAGATGAAAATTATTTTATTAAAGGGTAGTCTGTTTGAAATTTCTAAAAAGAACAAGAAAACAAGCAAAAATCCATAATTTTTAATTTTATCCTATGAAGTACTAGATTTGCACGTGGTTCAAAGCATTAAGTTGAAAGTATGCTTGACTAAGCCTTTTGTGACTTAAGACTGAAGAGAGAGAAGTACAGGCTGTCAGGTTTATTGTGTGTGCTAGGATATCCCCACAAGTAAAAAAGAATGATATCATCCACCTGAAATGTTTACTAGCTCAGATATTCTAGGCGTAAAGTTAATTAAATTGGCACTGTTTGCTATTTTCTGAGCATGCACAATAACAAACCTGGTTATCTGGTTATTTCTAGATACATACATTAATTATTATGTTGCAGCTTAGCAATTTCATCGTATAATTAGCTGTCAGAAAATGTACCAAAGTCATACTCATTACTGATGAATAAAAATGATCATAGGAAAACTTCTTCTGAAATGCTATAAAAGCTGGGCAAAGCAGTCATTGAGATATTTCAACTGGCACTACTTATTTAGTGCACAGTTTTTTAATGGCCTAATCTTCAAAAAGGCAGTTCATTGTTCCCACTTGATACTACTTTCTTTTCTCAGGGTGGAGCAAATCAGGCTAGAAACTGAACATGCCAATTTAATCCTGTCATCTTTAAAAGCAGTTCCCATTGAAAGAGAAAATTTTGTGATGGGTGATTTTTTTATGAGTATTTTCAGTGTCTTGGAGCAAATGATGTAATCTTTCTGAATAAGCTATTTCCCTGCCTTCTAAATACTAATAAACTCCTCATCTTAAAACTCCAGTTGCAGAATTGTTCTTTGAAATAGTTTTAAGCAAATTTAATCTTCCTTAAGATAGTTTGAACAGAGATGATTTTTAGTATATGTGCTGCCGAAGCGAGCACGAACAGAGATGATTTTGATTGATTTTTAGTAAGAAGCAATAGTTCGTCATACTACTATTTTTTTTTTTAGTAAATGCTAATGTTTGTCAAGTTTGCAACTAGGTTTATTTTTCTTTCTTTAGCTGAAAGAACTGAATGTTCAGACTCCATAAACTGCCTGCACTTACAGTCATGTGCTTTCTCACTTGGCTTGCTGGACTCCAGGATGCCTGTGAGAATGCTGTGTGTGGGAGTGAATGGTAATGTGCTTGTGCTGAGGACATGGGGTTTCAGTGTCACTGCACCACAATGGCCCCTTGAAGCCTGGCAGGGTCCAAATGCACAAGACCATTCTTTCTTTCTCTGAGATCCACCAATCAAGTGCCGGCCGGATGGGGAGCGGATGGGCCTGAGGCTCTTATTCAGTGGGATCTGTTACATCAGCACTTCTGCTGTTTTTAGGGAAACCATTAACATAAGGCAGCCAACATAAATATTTATTATGAAATTCCTTTGAATTTCTCCACGTCTTTCCAATGCTGACTATGCATTCAGCAGCTGTGGAAAAGTCATAAGAGAGCTCTGGAGAGCCGTGGAGCAGCCTGGCGAGAACGCCTTTCCTATGGAACCGCTCCGATACATCCGTGTTCCTGATCCAGTCACACCATTAGTGTGTCAAGGTGTGCTGATGTAACTGATCACTCGATAGTGCTTGTCAGTATAAATTACTAACCCCCTTCTTTCGGCTATTCTGGGTACCACAAACCAGTTTTAAAAAACAGGACCAATGTTGTAAATTTGCTACTTATCTGTTAGTATATAGTGTATAACACAACACTAAATAATGTCTTTGCATAATCATAGGAACTGACATAAAATTGTTTTAGAACAACATTTTTTTCACCATTTTAAGCAGACACATAGCTCTGCCTAATGATATAGAGTTACTGGTGGTGGAATATCTGAACAAATATGAGGAACTTTCGTTTATTGGAAATTTTGATAGGCTATAGTATTTCACAGGGTCCCCAGATGTTTTCTGTCATCTGTGTTTCTCTGTGTAATTAGAAATGGTGTGGTCCCCAGAGGGAGCCAGGTCTGTCCCAGTGGTCACTGGGAAACCTCTTCTCTGAAGCTACTAACCAGGTGTCTGATCTGAAGGGAAATTTTGCACTTCCAAAACAGGGTGGGAGTTTCTTATTCATGTGGCATTTTGAATTTCAGGAGGAATTCTGCTACCCAGTGGAATGCCTTGCTCTTACTGTTGAAGAAGTGATGCATATTCGTCAGGTGCTGGTGAAGGCAGAGCTGGAAAAATACCAACAGTATAAAGATGTCTACACTGCCCTGAAAAAAGGAAAGGTAGAGCTGTTTCACATTGATTGATGAGAAGGGTAGAAAGAATGGCCAGTCCTATGCATGGCCTCCTAGGAGAGTTGCCTGCCAGCCAGGTGGTACAGGACAGTTTTAGGGGATCATAGGAAGTAAGATGTTCATACTCCACTGGACAGTCCCTGTTCTGCCTCACTCACAAGAAGGTAGTCTTTTTGTTTCTCTCTTAGAAATCAAAATCTGTGGAAGGTTTTAAAACAACCATAATAATCATAAACCTTCATCAAACCATGTCTGTATTTAGTCTTTATACTTTTAAAGGACCTGTAAAGGTCCTTTATCTGAGAAACAGAAGAGAGTTTTTAAAACCTTAAGATTGCTTCCATGATGGTGAGACACTTGAGAGCTGTGGCTTTTTATTACCTTTTAAAATAGAATTATAATTAAATGCAAACCCAGATTATCAGTATCAACAGAGCGCCAACTGTTATAAACAGGAATTCTGAATTCTCTTCCTCCTCCTGTCTACTTCCTCCATTCGACTTCCCCAATGTATAAATGTAAAGTACATTCAAACATGGAAATTAGGTGTTAGCAATGCTTCTTTTCTCCTTTTAAATTTGTATTTTTTAGCTCTGCTTTTGTTGCCGAACCAGGAGGTTTTCCTTCTTCACCTGGTCTTATACCTGTCAGTTCTGTAAGAGGTAAGGTGTTTTGTGATTGATGAGAAGACAGGTGTAACAAATGTGAGAGAAATACTATGCCTTCCTGCCCATTCTGCTGTGCTACCTTCTGCTAGCCTTGCGGTTAGGAATATTGATTTCCTCAAGAGGATGAACCAAACATGCATTTGGTGTTGAACCTGGAAAATGTTTCTCTACATGTTATTTCTTTTACATAACCAAGATAATTCTAATTATGTGTCATGTTTGAACAGAAAAAAAATAGATATGGTTATCATGTAGTCTCTGAATAGACAAGTAAAAGAATCCCAAACAGTACACGTTGGCCCTTTGACAGGAAACAGTGTCAGAGTTAGGGTTACAGATTGACTGTCTTCCAGGCAGTGCTCAGCGTATCGATTTGTTACGTTCTGACAGAAGGACCAGAGAGCTTTTGCAGTTGATTTTAGAAATTCACAACTGTGCAGCCTTTGGCTTCTCTAACTCCACAGTCCCCTTCATTCTGTCATACCAAGTAACACTTCTGCTTTCGTATACAGGCCGGTGTGCTCACAGTGCTGCAAAAAGGTAAGCTGAGCTTGGTCAAGTTATAACTTGTGTTCATTTTAATGACTCTGCCTTTTTAACAGTACTGCTCATTGTTGGCTTTATTTGGGATAATAGATGCGGCTGCCCTCCAAGCCATACTCCACTCTTCCTATCTTTTCATTGGGACCTTCTGCTTTGCAAAGAGGGGAAAGCTGTATGCGGTCAGAAAAACCCCCTACTGGCCACCATCGGCCACTTCGAAGCATTGCCAGGTGAGCAAGGGGCTTGGGTCTTCAATGCAACCATTGTAAAAGAAGAATACCACTCTTTTTGAGGACCCTGGTGAGGTGTCAGTGTTTGGGCTGGGCTCGAGGGGGTTTAGTTGGTTGGTGAGGTGGTTTTTGGGTTTTTTTTAAGAGACAAGGTCTTGCCCTGTCACGCAGGCTGGAGTGCAATGGCAGGATCATAGCTCACAGCAGCCTCAAACTCCTGGGCTGAGGCAATCCTCCCATCTCAGCCTCTAAAGTACCAGGATTACAGGCATTAGCCACTGTACCCAGCCTGTTTGGTTTTAATATAGTTGTAGATTTACACACTAATCTCTAAAAATTCCCCAAAGGTAACTTTTCAAGGGATAATAGCTAGCTACTTGAAGGATACTTTCATCACATAGTTTTTATATTTTCTACAATACTTTTGAAATAACTACTTTATTGTGTCCTTTACAAGTCATCTTTAATATGGACCTTGTTTTCAGAGGAGTTGAAAACTTGCATGTGACTGTCTAAGCCACTTCTTCTTCTCTAATTTAGAAAGAAAATCTGTTTAATCCCATGTTTACAACGTCTGCAATAGCTTTGGCTTACTTTACTATTATAAAGGCAGAAATAAAGCTTTATGCCAAGAGCTGGCAATTTAAACAGACAAACAAAAAAATTGCCTGAGTACCAGACCCCTTGCATTTAATGTTGGATGAGGTTAGTGTTGATCTTTAAGAAAGATGGAAAGAGGTCGACCGGCTGAAGTCACACACTGGCAGGGCTGAGAGGCTGAGGTCTGGTGTACCAGCCGCATGTCAGGCTGTGGCCAGTGAGGTGAGGAAGCTGTGAACCCAACACAAAACTTGTACCTAAAATGCCTGCCCTTGTTTTTGGACTCTGTCTCCTGAGATGCCACTGCTCTGTAATGACCTCTGAGTGTGAACTATCAGTGGGCTCAAGGGCAGGGCACATAACAGCTGTTTTTTCCTATACCCGCTCTGAATTTACTGTGTATTACATGTTGCATCTTGTTTGGTTTAATTAAAATAGTAAATGAGTAGGTGATTCTGGGTTTTCTCAAATATTCCTGAAAGCATTTATTATGATTTTGGTCTGGTTAACTCCAGGTTTCTGCAATTCAAATAACCAATCACCCAAAATATACAGAATTGTTGAACAGGGCAAGGCGTGTTTGATAAATACACTAATGACGAGAAAACTGGTGAAAAGATAATTTTTCAGGATCTGTCATAGGATTAAGATAAATTTACTTCAGTTTCCTAAAGTCTGACCTACCATCTACAGTTATAACTAGTGTTCACTGTTCATAGGGTCACCAGATCCCTGGAGAAAGAAACTTAAGTTCTTCTGGATCATCAGTATTTTATCTTATTTTTAGTTGTTGGAATTCACCATCCATGTATATATGGTAATCAGGTGACTAGTCTATTTTCCAAAAATTCTAGAAGGGTGGTTAAGAGTTTTTAGTTTTCTTTCTTTTTTTTTTTTTTTATTTTTTTTGAGACATGGTCTCACTCTGTTGCCCAGGCTAGAGTGCCATGCGTCAGCCTGGCTCACAACAACCTCAGACTCCTGGGCTAAAGCCATTCTCCTGCCTCAGCCTCCCAGGTAGCTAGGACTACAGGCATGCACCACCATGCCTGGCTAATTTTTTCCTATATATTTTTAGTTGGCCAATTAATTTCTTTCTATTTTTAGTAGAGACGGGATCTCACTCTTGCTCATGCTGGTTTCAAACTCCTGACCTTGAGTGATCCACTTGCCTCAGTCTCCCAGAGTGCTAGGATTACAGGCATGAGCCACTGCGCCCAGCCAATTTTATTTCTTAATAAAACATATATCCAGGTTTCTTTTCTAAAAATATTTTTGAGCCTTGTCTCTAGTAAGAAATTCTTTGGAAGAACATACCATGATTAAATCACTCATGTATTCCATAATGTTTGGACAACAAATTTACTTTTTTTTTTGAAAGAGACATGGTCTCACTCTATCACCTGGATAGAGTCCAGTGGCATCATCATAGCTCACTGCAGCCTCAAACTCCTGGGCTCAAATGATCCTCCTGCCTCAGCCTCCCAAGTAGCTGGGACTATAAGTGTTTACCACCACACCCAGCTAATTTTTCTATTTTTAGTAGAGATGGGGTCTTGCTCAGGCTGGTCTCGAACTCCTGAGCTCAAGCAATCCTCCCACCTTGGCCTCCCAGAATGCTAGGATTACAGTACAGGTATGAGCCACCAAGCCTGGCCTACTTTTTTTTTTTTTTTTTTAATCTTCTTAGTATTATAGTAGACCTGTAAGTAATAGTGCATATTTTGTTTTTTCCCCCCAGGTTCTCCTCAAAATCTAAGTCTGTGGACAAATCAGATGAAGAACTCCAATTTCCCAAAGAGCTAATGGAGGACTGGAGCACTATGGAGGTGTGTGTGGACTGCAAAAAGTTCATTTCGGAAATCATCAGTTCAAGCCGGCGCAGCCTGGTGTTGGCCAACAAAAGAGCCCGATTAAAAAGGAAAACACAGTCTTTCTATATGTCCTCACCAGGCCCCTCGGAGTACTGCCCTTCAGAGAGGACGATCAATGAGATCTGAGCCTCATGCCTTTCAGTTGCCTTTGTGTTCAGAGTCGGCGTCAGTGCACGAGAACACTGAACCGGACTGTCTCTCCCTTCCATGGTTTTATTTAATAGGCTTGAATTTGCATTAGATCAGACTTTTTGCTGCATCACATTGTTCCACAGACTGAATGCTGTGTTTATATCGATGGATGATGTGACAGATCAGCCAATTGCTCCTTTGCACTGAGAGAGGACAGTAGTTTGAAACCTGCTTTTGTGTATCTGTGGCTTTGGAAGCCAGAAACTTTTTCCTTAGTTCAGTTTTTTATTGTTCTTCGAATAATTTCCTAACTAAGGCAAAAAGCTTCTCCTATGAGAAATCAGCCTAACAGAGGTGTCTATTAGCACAGTCCTAAGCAGTAAGTCATATTGGCATTTCCACGTGACAGTGTTTCTACCCCATGTACATAGTGATCCAGAGCCCTGCCACACACCAGGTACCTGGAGGCGGGCCGGGCTGTTTATTGTCCTACAGCACAAAACCTAGAAGGATTTGCTGATACTATCAACTGATCTTTAAATTATTGTTGCTCTGAGATAAAAATTACACAAGGGGCTTTATGTCTGCATTCTAGTGCAAAACATCTGAGTGAGCTACACGCCCGTGTGGGTGGCTGTTTTCACTGAGCTGCCATGTTTGTCCCGGTGCCATGGATCAGAGTCTCCCAAGTGGGGGATAGGTTTTCATTCCCTATCTTGAATGTATTATGGTTACTGATAGTTTTATAATGAGTGTCTAAGAATCAAAGTTTTGTGGGAGTCTCAAGACAAAGGAAGGCTAAAGATTTGTCAAGAAGTGCGTATATTCTGGTTGACTGTGAGAAGGGCTGCAGCAGCGTAAGGTGCCAGCTATTGGCCACGCTGCAGGACAAGAGCTGGAGCTCATGATTGTCAGCTGTGTTTTTCATAACTTTTTAGTGCAGCCATCATGACTAAATTAAGCCACAATTTAGTATCTAAGGTCTCAAACCGAAATTTATTTTTATAAATGAATTTTAAAAGAAAAATATCTAGCTCTTTTAAAATTAGAAGAAAAGATGACCAACCAATCAAATTGTTATTACTGTTTGGAAAATCAATTAACGCACATGCACAATGATTTTCTGAAAGCCATAGGACACATCTGTAGTCAGCACCATGACAGCACCATTTAATGAGAGGCATGGCAGTCACATCTCATCCTGCATTAACAAACAGTGACATTTCCATACTAAATTAACAGTAATACCTCAAGACTGCTTCGGTAGTAGTTTTTAAATGGATTGAAATTTACAATTTAGAAAATGGTTTAAAATTACTTATACTTATGAAATAAACTTTACTGATTGACTAAAATAATGCATGTTAACAGTTCATCTGAATTTGCATGTTAGTGGACCAGCAGAGAACCCTTATTGATTATTTAAGTATTTGAATTATTTTAAAGACTCCTATTTAAACGATTTAAAAATTGTATTGGGTGAATCTCATTTATAAAATTTTCTAAAAGACTATCTGACTGTTTGGTGGGACCTACCCCTTTTTACTGACCTCCAGGCTTGAGCTTCTTAAATAACTGTCAGGAAGGGTACACAGGGGAGGAAATGGTATTTGTATATGTACATAAACATGCACCTAGGAGAATGTGCTTTTTACACTAATAAATAGTTACTGTCTTTATTAAAACATAAAAAAACTACACCCCCCCCAAAGAAGAATTTCATTCTGTTCACAGAGCAAATAACTAGTAAATCTCTCTTTTACTTCACTTCTTTGGGTCTATGTTACTATATAGGATGATTTGGGCATTATCATCACATTTTACTAGAGCATTAAAATGTAAATTCTTCAACAACATTAACAGGGTTTGCCAAGTACATTAAAGAGGACAAGTGGATGATGTGTCCATATGAAACAGTTTGCAGGAAGCAGTATAAGAAAGGGCACATGGCACACTTAAAGTCATAAAAATCAAATTAGCATCATATTTTGGTTGCCAAAGCAAATTCTTACATTTAACCCTCCCATATGCATGATATGTACACCCTCCTTGAACACTTCACCTAAGTTAGGTAATTCACTAGGAGCTTGTGGAGCTTGGTTTTAAAAAACCTTAGCCTAGTCTAACTTTAGGCATAGCTTCTTCCTTCTAAAACAGCCTCCCTGTGCAGTGTTCCTTTTTGTCCTGGTTTCCTGCTGCTCAGGTTTTACTTCTAATCCAACAACAACAAAAATGTTGCAGTCTGGCTGGTCTCAGTTGGAGTCTGCTGCATCTCTGAGCACATGTGCATATCTGAGCAGTCATCCCTGTTCTCACCCCAGCTCGCTCGCTCCAGGCCTGGGCAACAGTTCCTTTTGTCCCACATGTAATGAAGTCATGCTGTTGGGAAGGCTGTGCTTCCTCTCCGTGGCTTAGCTTTCTGTCAGTGTCAGAGTGTACAAGGATGCTTGTAAATACTGTAGCATATTTATTAATATTTGAAAGGCATTCATTCAGTGACAATGGGCTTAACTCTCCCAAGGCAAATAAAAACTCAAATAATTGATATGTACACTAACTTAGATTCCAAGTCTTAAGCCTTCCAAATTAAACCAGAGGTTGTTATGTAGGAGTTTTAAAAATAATCTTATGTTCAAAGAGATATGTGATTAGCACCATGAACCCATACCATGAAATTTTTAAGGCTTTTATTTTTCTAACTCTATTATAAATATAGGACTGGATTTTAGGTATCATATAGGAAACATGAAAGTTTTAAATTATGTTGCCATTTGCTAAAGCAAAATAGCAGAAAATTTTGTACATGCAACACTATTGAAGGACCACGAAGAAATGTATACTACAGACTAGGCTTCTGTGTGGCTTCCTGTGCCTGTAAAAGTCGAAGCCTTGCTGGCATTCAGGGGGACGTGATCGTACTAAATGTGTTCCATTACAGTCTTTTATTTTAAAAGTTATCTAGGGATAAATAAAATGGCTTTCCATGGTACCTTCTGTGTTGAGTTCCTATTGTAAAATGGTGCTGTCTTTTGGTAAGTAGCTGTTAGAAATCACCTAGCTTGGGAATGCAAAGCACTTTTATCGTCAGCAGCTTACTGTCATTTGAGAAATGCAATCTACAAGGACCACACTGGGAAAAGTAAAATGGGGCCACCACAAGTGACTCTGCTGTGTTATCAAGCAGCTCAAGTAGGAAATTAAAATTATTAAAGAGTAAGTAACATTTTAATATATAAGTCACATATGTGGAGACAAATTGTGTATAGATGGATAAAGCTTTTTAAAATAGCTTTATTGAGGTATAACTCATATTCAAAAAAAACCTGTACATTTTTAATGTACAGGCATACCTTGTTTTATCATATTTTGCTTTATTGAGCTTTGTAGATACTACATTTTTTACAAATCGTAAGGTTTGTGGCAACCCTGAGTCAAATAAGTCACTTTGCACCATTTTTCCAACAGGTGCTCACTTTGCGTTTCTGTGTCACATTCTTGCAACATTTCATAGTTTTTCATTATTGTTATATCTGTTATGGTGATCTACGATCAGTGATTTTTGATGTTACTGCTGTAATTGTTTTAGGGCACCATGAACCATATTCATGCAAGATGGCAAACTGAATCCATAAATGTTGAGTGTTCTGACTGCTTCACTGACTAGCCATTCCCCTCTCTTGGGCCTCCCTGTTCCCTGAGACACACCAATATTGAAGTTCCGACAATGAATAACCCTACAATGGCCTCTAAGTGTTCGAGTGAAAGGAAGAGTCCATATCTTACTTTAAATCAAAAGCTAGAAATGCTCAAGCTTGATAAGGAAGGCACATGAAAAAGTCCAGATAAGCCAAAAGCTAGGCCTCATGAGCCAGTTAGTAAGTTGTGAATACAAAGGAAAAGTTCTTGAAGGAAATTAAAAGTGCTGCTCCAGTGAACACACAAATGATAAGAAGTAAAACTGCTTTTATTGCTGACACGGAGAGTTTGGGTGGTCTAGCTAGAAGATAAAACCAGCCAAAACATAATCCAGAGCAAGGCCCTAACTCTCTCCAATTCTATGAAAAAAAGTTGTCTCCACACCACAACAGTGCAAGGTGAAGCAGCAGGTGCTGATGGAGAAGCTGCAGCAGGTTGTCCACAAGATCTAGCTGGGATCATTGAAGAGGGTGGTTACACTAAACAACAGATTTTCAATGTTGACTGAACGCATTCTATTGGAAGAAGATGCCACCTAGGACTTTCATAGCTGGAGAGACGTGAATGCCTGGCTTCAAAGTTTGAAAGGACAGGCTGACTCTCTTGTTAGAGGCTAATGCAGCTGATGGCTTTAAGCTGATGCCAGTGCTCATTTACCATCCTGAAAATCTTAGGGTCCTTAAAAATTATGTTAAATCTGCTGTGCCTATGCTCTATAAATGAAACAACAAAGCCTGGATGACAGCACATCTTTTTACAACATGCTTTACTAAGAATTTTAAGCCCACTATTGAGACCTACTGTTTGGGGAAAAAAAGACTTCTTTCAAAATATTACTGCTCATTGACAATGTACCTGATCAACCAAGTCCATGGATCAAAGAGTAATTTGGGGCTGGGCGCAGTGGCTCACACCTGTAATCCTAGCACTCTGGGAGGCCAAGGCTGGTGGATCATTTGAGCTTAGGAGTTTGAGATCAGCCTGAGCAAGAGTGAGACCCCCATCTCTACTAAAAAAAAAATAGAAAGAAATTAGCTGGACAACTAAAAATACATAGAAAAAATTAGCCAGGCATGGTGGCGCATGCCTGTAGTCCCAGCTACTTGGGAGGCTGCGGCAGGAGGATCGCTTGAGCCAAGGAGTTTGAGGTTGCTGTGAGCTAGGCTGATGCCCCGGCACTTTAGCCCAGGCAACAGAGTGAGACTCTGTCTCAAAAAAAAAAAAGCAAAGCAAAGAAAAAGTAATTTTGACTTTCAAGTCTTATTTCAGAAATACATTTCCTAAGGCTGTAGATGTCATAGATAGTGATTCCTCTGGTGGATTTGGCCAAAGTAAATTAAAAACCTGGAAAGGATTCACCATCCTAGATGCCATTAAGAACTTTCATGATTTATGGGAAGAGGTCAAAATATCCACATTAACAGGAGTTTGGAAAAAGGTGATTCCAGTTCTCTTGGATGACTTTGAGGGGCTCAAGACTTAAATGGAGGAAGTCACTGCAGATGAGGTGGAAATAGCAAGAGAACTAGAATTACAAGCAGAGCCTGAAGATGGGACTGAACTGCTGCAATCTCATGGTCAAACTTGAATGGATTAGGAGTGGCTTCTTATGGATGAGCAAAGAAAGTGGTTTTTTGAAATAGAACATACTCCTGGTGAAGATGTTGGGAACATTGTTGAAATGACAACAAAAGATTTAGAATATTACATAATCTTAGTTGATAAAGCAGCGGCAGGGTTTGAGAGAACTGACTGCAATTTTGCAAGAAGTTCTACTGTGGGTAAAAATGCTATCAGACAGCATCGCATGCTACAGAGAAATCTTCTGTGAAAGGGAGAGTCAACTGATGCAGCAAGTTTCATTGTTGTCTTATTTAAATGAATGGCCACAGCCACTCCAACCTTCAGCAACACCACCCTGCTCAGTCAGCAGTCATCAACATCAAGAAAAGATCCTCTGCCAGCAAAAAGATTACAAGTTGGTGAAGGCTCAGATGATTGTTAGTATTTTTTAAGCAATGAAGTATTTTTAAATTAAAGTATGTACCCTTGGGTTTTTTAGACATAATACTATTGCACACCTAATGGACTAGTATGTGTGAGCTTTTATATGCACTGGAAAACCAAAAATTGTGTGACTTGCTTTATTGCAATATTTGAGGGGCTTTTTGGCAGTGATCTGGAAACAAACGTTCAATATCTCCAAGGTATACCTATATACAATTTGATGAGTTTGGGATAAAGCCTTTATATATACTTTCTAAATAGTATTCCCCCAGGGACATATTCCTAAAATGTGAACTGAGGAAAGTTCTTATGTTTTGATGTTAACTAAGGTAGAATGCATCACTGACCCTATAACTATCTTAAACATCACATCATACTGCATTTGATACTGATGCATTTATACAGGCTGTTCCTCAGTTGCCAGACTTTTTTTTCTTTCGTTTTTTGAGATAGAGTCTCGCTTTGTTGCCCAGGCTAGAGTGAGTGTCGTGGCGTCAGCCTAGCTACCAGCAACCTCAAACTCCTAGGTTCAAGCGATCCTCCTGCCTCAGCCTCCCGAGTAGCTGGGACTACAGGCATGCGCCACCATGCCCGGCCAATTTTTTCTATATATATTAGTTGGCCAATTAATTTCTTTCTATTTATAGTAGAGACGGGGTCTCGCTCTTGCTCAGGCTGGTTTCAAACTCCTGACTTCGAGCAATCCGCCCGCCTCGGCCCACCGGAGTGCTAGGATTACAGGTGTGAGCCACCGCGCCTGGCCGCAGACATTTTTTAGAAGCCCCTTCCACTGAAGTTTCTCTGGAATGTGTGTATGATAAGACTTCTGTGTATGTATGTCCAACTCATAATGCAAAAGTTTAGTGACATTCTAAGTCCAAGTCAATCCTTGACCTGTCCCTCCTGGGTTCCAGAGATACAGAAAACTTGGATAGCATACGTGGGAAATGGTTTGGTTAACCCTTATTTAGAGACTCAGTTCTGATGTCTCTGCAGAACATGTGGGTGTGCGCAACCACGCTCATGCACACACATTGATTATGCCAATAAAGCGTGTGGTTCTAAAGCGTGTGGGCCAAAGGCGCATACCCAGAAACGTCTCCCTTTGCCCACCCAGAAAAGTTTAAGAGCCAAGAGCCCACTTGATACAAAACTCTGCCTTCACTGATCAAATGTTCAGAAGCAGTTACCTGGAAGACCAAATTGGCACTCTTGTGGCTCATTTCATTAAAATATATATGATGTCGTATAGTCATTTAGAATAGAGCTTGCTGTGCAAACTGCGCCTCTGGCCCTGATGCTGGTGGACACATCGGAGCCTGTATGATGCGGTGGTGACAGTAAGCTGCAGGACTGACAGGACAGTGCTCTTGAAAAGTGGGACATCAGTAAGTTTATTGATGACCCCAGGGCTCGAGCTGAAGAAGCATCTGGATGTTTGGCACAAGTCAGTGTTCAGATTTCTTTCGGCACAAAGAGGGGGCTCTGCCTTGCGTGCAGCTAGCACGGCTACCCAGCCTTGAGCAAGGTGGCTGCCTTCAGCTTTGCCCTCTTCCGCACTTACTTCTTCTCCTGAGGGTTCCCTTCTGACCTGCCGTCAGCCCCAGGCCCTGTGGTTAGGGTGACAGCAGAGAACCGCACATCCAGGTTCTCCCAGGAGCAGCGGTTTTCGGAGAGTAGAGATGCCCGAGGTGAGAGGAGGATCTGAACATGAGGTTCCTGAGCAGACGCCGCGTGACCCACAGGGCAGCGTGTGGAGAAGGGAGGACAGCCAGTCTGCACGGGAGAACCTGAAGCATGCAGCTTCTGCAGTGTAGACTCTAGTTGGGTAAACAGAAAACGGAGAAGAACTTCTGTTTTTAGAGTGATGAAATGTCAATCTTAGACACCCCAAAGGGACGAGACACCCAAGAATTCAGCTTGTTCACCAACCAGGGGAACACAACTTGAGATGACCCCTAGGGCCATCCTGCCACCGTCGCTGGCTGGCTTCAGAAGTCGGGCTGTCAGCTTGAGCTTCATGCTCTGGTGTCACTGGCGACACCTCGGGCGCAGCAGTGGCCGAGGCCCCCCACGCAACAGCCACTGTGCCAAGTGGCATTCACCAGCAGAAGGCTTTTTCAGGACCCTTCGTCCTGATAACTGAAAAAAACTAGTCTGTAATTAGCAAAGTAGATTCTTTCTCAGCAACACGTGATTTTCAAGTATCAGATGGGTGACTGAACTGCCCCAGCCCGGCAGCAGAACAGCGTGTTACCCTGGGAGAGCACCTTAACATTTATTGACTTATGTCTTCAATTTTAGAGCACGGGTATTAGACTAGAAGGTCTGTAAGGTCACCTTTAACTAGGAACGAGATTCAAGATATTGAAACAACCAATACTGCTCAGGCGCCAACCAGGAAACACATTCAAAACCCGAGCTTACAGTAATCAGATATTGAGAAACACCTTCGTGTAATCCAAGCCACCCCTTCCCCTGAAGTGAGGTGTGAAGTGACTGATACTTCTAAGCATTATTTCTCTGTGTTGATGACAAACCTGATTATGAATATTACATGAAATCAAGAAAAAGAGAAAAATGTGTTGCATTTATTTGAAACTCCAATGCAAGGGTAAATTCAGTTTTACTAAATTGCTGGCAACAGCACGGCCCTGTCTCTAAAGAAAGAAAAAAAAGAAACAGAAAGAACCTAAGTCTACCTCTCAAAAAGAAAAACCTCAGAAAGATGAGTTGACTATATTAAAAATAGACACACATAAAACCCCTCACGCCGCAGTCTTGCAACATCCAGGCAAAGGCCTCGTCTGCCCCGGCAGTAGCAAGCGCCAGACATTTCTCTGTCCCCACAGAGCAATTCATACTTCCTATTGGAGATGTAAAGAGAAGCAGGTGACTAGTAGAGGTGACTACAGAGAGCAGGCTATTCTCATCTACTTGATGTGTGATTTTCCTTGACCAAGCAGCCGTAGCCCAGATGTCCCCTCCGTGTGTTAACGAGAGGGGACAGGTCTCTTTGAGAGGCTGGTCTCTTTGGCCTTCAGTGCTACAGACCCGATCACTGCCTGAACTCTTCTCAGCAGACTTGGTCTCTACAGTTGACTGTCAAGCTGGGAACGGGCTCCCCGCCCGACAGGCTGTGTGTCTCCAGGGCAAGGCAGAACCTACTCTCTGCTTCTCTGCAGAGCTCTGTCTTCGAATAGGTCACGTCCCTGTGGGCTCTCCCGACCCTAGAGTGTCGGGCAGAACAATGGGCATAACCCTGCCTCCCATGGACGACAAACTGACCTGCGACAGAGACCTTGGGGACTGTAGTAGAAGCTGCCACACAAATGCAAACGGTGTATTTGTCAGTACTCAGTGTGTACTCATTAATTCTTTACTACTTGCCTCTTTTGCAGTATGTTAAGTCTGACTAGTAATCATAAAAGTCTGATTACAAATGTTTATGCCAGTTGGGTTGAAATAAGAAATATTAAAGAAATATTAATATTTGAAAATATTTGAAAATAAAATATTCATATTCTTATGAAATAAGAAATATTAATATTTCAAATTTTTCATATGTAGGACAATTTGGCTGATAGGAAAATAAGGAAAAGTCTGAAAACAAGCTTTATAATATTCTGTGCTCAGCTTGTGACTATTACTATATAATTTAAAATTTTTGGCGGATTTTCAGTAGCTAATAGCTACCAGTTATCGAGCCCTTGCTATGTATCAAACACTATGCTAAGTGCCTGCAGCCTTTAACCACCTGGGCGCGGCGCTGCCGTGGACGGCGCGGCCGTCTGCGCGTGCGCGTGGAAACCTCCAGACCCTGAACGCTTGTCCTGCTTCACAGGCAGCTCTACCTGTCATGTAAATCAGAACAGGTAACATGTACATGTATGTTTTCATTATGTTATTTTTAAATGTTCACAATTTTATTTTGATAAATGAAAAAGTAGAAAAGTCACATCACGGCTGCGGGCTGCAGCCGACGCTGGGCTGTGCGCCTTCCTATGGCGGCTACAGTCGGCTACAGTCGCTGTGCGCTCATCTGTGGCTGTGGGCTGCAGTCGACACTGGGCTGTGCGCCTTCCTATGGCGGCTACAGTCGGCTACAGTCGCTGTGCGCTCATTTGTGGCTGTGGGCTACAGTCGACGCTGGGCTGTGCGCCTTCCTATGGCAGCTACAGTCGGCTGCAGTCGCTGTGCGCTCATCTGTGGCTGTGGGCTACAGTCGACGCTGGGCTGTGCGCCTTCCTATGGCGGCTACAGTCGGCTGCAGTCGCTGTGCGCGCTCATCTGTGGCTGTGGGCTGCAGTCGACACTGGGCTGTGCGCCTTCCTATGGCGGCTACAGTCGGCTACAGTCGCTGTGCGCTCATCTGTGGCTGTGGGCTACAGTCGCGCTGGGCTGTGCGCCTTCCTATGCGGCCTACAGCTCGGCTGAAGTCGCTGCTGCGCTCATCTGTGGCTGTGGCTACAGTCGACGCCGGCTGTCGCCCTTATATGGGCGGCTACAGTCGGCTGCAGTCGCTGTGCCGCTCATTGTGCTGTGGGCTGCAGTCGACACTGTGCTGTGCGCTCTCCTATGGCGGCTACAGTCGGCTGCATCGCGCTGTGCGCGCCATCTGTGGGCTGTGGGCTCGGTCGACGCTGGGCGTGCGGCTTCCTATAGGCGGCCTACAGTCGGCTGCAGTCCGCTGTGCGCGCTACATAGCTGTGGGCTGTGGGCGCTGGGCTTGGCCTTCCATGGCGGCTACAGTCGGAACTACAGTCGCTGTGCGGCGCCCATCCTGTGGCTGTGGCTGCTGGGCTGTGGCGCCTTCTATGGTGCTACAGCGGCTACAGTGTCGCTGTGCGCGCTCATGCTGTGCCTGCGGGCTGCAGTCGACACTCGGGATGTGCGGCCTTCCTATGCGGCTACCCAAAAAAGGTGGGCTCAGCGCTGTGCGCTCATCTGTGGCTGTGGCACTAGCGTCGCCGCTGGGCGCTGCTGCGCCTTCCTATCGGCGGCTACAGTTGGCTGCGAGTCGGCTGGATGGCGCGCTCATTGTGGTGTGGGCTGCGCAGTCGACCAGCTGGGGCTGTGCCCTTCCTATGGCGGCTACAGTCGGCTACAGTCGCTGTGCGGCTCATTGTGCTGTGGGCTACATCGACGCTGGGCTGTGCCCTTCCTATGGGGCTACAGTTGGCTGCAGTCCCTGTGCGCGCTCATCTGTGGCTGTGGGCTGCAGTCAGACGCCGGCTGTGCGCCTTCCTATGGCGGCTACAGTCGCTACAGTCGCTGTGCGCTCATCTGTGGCTGTGGGCTACAGTCGACGCTGGGCTGTGCGCCTTCCTATGGCGGCTACAGTTGGCTACAGTCGCTGTGCGCGCTCATCTGTGGCTGCGGGCTGCAGTCGACACTGGTCCCGAAGTGCTTAATACTCAACTCTGGCATAGATGCTACTACTACCATCTTTCATCGGTGAAAAACTTGGGCATAATAAGGTTGTCATTTGCCCCAGGTCAAACCTGAGACCTAATTCTAGCACTGCTGCAGCCCCAGCTCTTTCTGGGGAACTGCTAGGATTACGAATTTGGTCCTTACGTCACCAATGCCCTGAATGCTCAGAACTATACCTACCAAGTAGAACAGCTTTGAATATCAACTGGCCAAATATGTGTGTGAACAGTACAAACAAAAGGTTGAAGGAGCTATAAATCTCCAGGAATCGATAGCAATCTGCGGTGCTGTGTGCTAGTGTCGGTCAAGGGCGGCTTCATGGAAGATTTTAAGTTGGGTTCTGAGGTGCCATCTGATGGTCACCTGCACCGGTCATTTGTACCATGCCTACGCCTTGGTGTTGACTTTTTTCAAAACAGAATGAGAAACCTTTCTTGCTTCTAATCGGGGAAGTTATAACGGATATTTTGGGGTACTGGCAAGTGGAACAGCATGCAAGGGAGACCAGTGAGAAGGCGACTGTGCAAGTCAGTAGAAGATGATGTATTGGTTACCTGTTGCTGTGTAACAGATCACTCCAAAACTCTGTGGCTTGCAATGATGAGCATTCATTGCCTCACAAGCTTCTGTGGCCAGGAATTCAGGAGGAGCCTCGGCTGGTGGCCGCGGCCGAGGCCTCTCACTGGCTGCAGCTTCTCGAAGGCTGCCCTGGGGCTGCAGCCGGGCTGAGAGGGCCCCTCGCGCTCTGCCTGCGTGCCGCTCCAGAGCTCCCAGCGTCCTCAGGGCAGGGCAGGGCAGACCAGCGGGGGCAAGCCGCACGTCCTACAGTGTGGCCTCTGGAGTCCCCAGATCACGCGCCAGGACCCCACAGTGCAGGAAGTAGCACTGATCAGAAACACAGAAGGGAAAGCAGCGGGACAGAAGGGAACAAGCTCAGCTTTATTTACGCGGCTGAGATGCAGTGGTGCCTGTAAGGAAGGGGCCTGGAAACCGAGAGTGAGTAGCTGAGGCTCGGGCCTCGGCCCCCTCAGTCCCCTTCTGCAGCGAGGGGCCTCGCAGCCCTTTGAAAGGCGGAGGCGCCCTCCCCCACAGGCTGCAGCCTGCCAGCCCCGCCCTGCGCAAGCGCCCCGCCTGCACGCCGAGCACAGGACGTGGTGAGCCGTCAAGGCCAGAAATCAAATCGGCACTGAGCTCCGCCTGCTCGCTGATTTCTTACAAGGTGATGGTTTTATAGTTGAGAGTTAGCTCCTACTAGTGACTAAAAAGCTTTAAAAATTAACAATGCCCTCTAAAATCATATAACTTCCCCAAACCATTCATATGGTCAGTGAAGAGATCAAGTGTGCGCAGAGGACACGAAGCCTCAGCACCCGCAGGCAGGGTG